CTGTACTTCAGTCACTGTCCTCGGTTTCTTGTTTTTCAACAGACTTGTCATATACATAGCAAGCTGCAGATGAAATTAGAGTGGCCAACGGTCCATGCAGTGAGCAAGATTAATTGCTTCCCGACTAAATCTGTAATAGTTAAGTTAGGCACCCCGGCGGAAATCTCGCAACAAACCCCATGGAACAGTCCGGCGTTCGACCCTCCTCAAGTAACCTTTGCCGTAATAAGTATTTTTTTATCTTTATTTTTTTGTATTACTAGTGGGGTGGGATTAAGTCCCTTGTACTGCGGCCACTTCTGGCCTATTGTACCAGACCGAGATAATAGGTGAGGGTGAATGTGGAATGAAGATTGGCAGGGGAGAAAACCTGCCCCAGCTCCACTTTGTCCAACACAAATCCCACTTAACCAGACCCAGGATCGAACCCGGGCCGCCGCGGTGGGAAGCCAGTGACTAACCGCTTCAGCTATGGCGTGGCCATGCAGTAATAAGTAAGTGGGTTTACTCCGTGTGCACCAATGTCGGAGTGTGACGAGTTTACGAATGCGACCTAGGCTAAACAGAGATGAGGACGGACGCCATCTTACCATACTGTAGAACAATATGCAAATGGCGTAAATGAATAATAACTTGCGTATTTCAGAAGCCCGTCCCGAAGAAATGGTAATCCATCTGGTGGCAGAAGATGATATGGTGTTATGTCTGTTGGAAGCCAGAATTGTGAGGCCAAGAGAAACAGTCGTGGCTAGGAAACGGCTCTGCAAACATGCGCGTTGCTTAGGCAATGGCACGGGAAACATCACACGAGTGTCTCAATAGGCATGCACGCAAAAATAAAGTAACTGCAGGAAGCGCTGTTTTCTATGCGGTTCGCACTGTGGGTACATAATACGTTTATTCTGAGTCTCCAGCACAAGAGTTAGCAGCTGAAGACGACAGATAGTCGCCACCCTGCAAGGACGTGAGCCAGGAAACAGAGGAATGTCCGATGTTAAAGCCGCTACCAAACAAAAAGAATTACAACAGTAGTCTGTGTGTGATATTAGTGGGAAAAACTTAATTACTCCTTGTAAGAGAGTTCAGTAGATCCTGTAATCAATCCAAAACCCGTTAATCTTCAGTCACTTGCGAGACAATATGAATATGTTGAATTAGGCGTTAGTTACATGTTTCTCCTCAATTATCGAACCTAGATCCAGCGAAATTATCCTCAGTCCATACTGTCCCGCTCGAGAATCCAGTCGACTATTGGGTTCGAGTACAGTGGGGATAGGTATAAACAAGGAGAGATAGAGGATCTTAACTACAGCAGCAGTTGTAGCTCAGATGCAGACGTGAATGTTGTACCTCCAATAACCTACCAACTACGCGTCGTAGGCGCCATCTTCACGGAGGCACCACCACGGCACAGCATTATTAGTTACCGCCGCGCAATAAATCTGCAATATATCCCTGTAAAGTCCGTTGAAAATAGACTTCGCAAAGTTGACTCTCAACGGAGTACACAGCGTACGTAGGTTATAAGAAGACAGGGGTATTCAAAATATATGTGAATCACAAAACAAATACCTGTGTCACTGAAGTGAGATATAAACTTATATATTGATATCAGACATTTTTCTCAATCATGGTTTCCTCTCCATAGAAAAATGTGTGCTACAGTTGCACAGAACTGATTCTATTAATAGAAAGTGTCCCCCTAAATTGAACTGTGATTTATTGCAAGTGCTCTCCAATCAGAGAGCAGGCCTCGTGCCATACACACATTTTAATTACTGGCATTGTCAACTAAGTCATCCTGTTCAGTGTACAACATTACAGCTATGACGTAAAGGAACACTAACACGGAGTGTAACTTATACACTTCTGCTAATGGCTTATATTTATTGCGTGGCTCTTAAAGTACTTCTTATCAACAAAATTTTACGTGCATACACAGAGAATTGCTGGATAAAATATTGAATCCTATTACTATCCACATAGTTAGTATTACAATAATTATGTGAATTATTGGAACATTTCACCACGTCTGACCCATTTTACCTCATCTTATAATTCTACTTTATTTCCTTCTCGCCTTCTTCCTCTTATTTTATAATCTTATTCTCTTTCTAACACAATATTTGTGCTCTTAATCTCGCATTTCCGTTCTGTTTATTCTTTTATTTTCGTGCGCCTTCAAAAGACCATTAACATCGTTTCACTAAACCATTAAATATTTATTATTAGAAAATTTGTATTCTAAAAGTATCTCCGGATATAAGTGAAAAAAATCTCAGAAGTTGCTTTAAGCAACTTCTAAAAAATCTAAAGTCTGTACTATAGTAAAGAGTAATATAATTCGTTTTCTATTTATTTTGAGATGTCTCAGATGTTGCAATAGTACTTCATGCGTATGTGGGCGAGAATATCAAGACGGGTCATTTTGTGGAGGTATATTATTCCTTCTACAAAGCCTCTCCATCAGGCATTCTGTTCTGAAGCTGACAAAAGTGAGTCTAGCTATTTTAAATATAAGCATCTAATATGAACAACAGAAATTTCTACTGAAAATGCACTCCACATATTTCTGTACGAACACATCAAATTGAATACATAATTACGATGTTTCCTATTCTATTGCTACTCATACGGTCACATTGGAATTGCTATGATCAGCTTCTTCATTGTACTCCGCCCACCTTCTTTTTAGGAGTCGTGCAGTTGAATGAGCATCGTGAAATATCTATAAGAAACATTCACCAACTGAAACAGAGATTAAAGACGCAACATATAAGTATAATTTGAAGATTACACAGAAGATGTAACTGGAGATCGGGTACAATTCGGTTAGACACTTCAGACTAAGTTTAAGTGAAAGTGGGGGTACCCAGGCGGGTTGCCCACGGCGAAACGTCGCCAGGTACCAGCTCGATGGGAGGCTTGCCTACTCCCAGAGACGAGATGGACAATGTGAAGAGGGGGAACATACCGGTCCCAGCAAAAAATGGAACACAGAGCCCTCGAATCCATAGCCTGTAGCATTGCAATATACTGACTGAGCTACCCAAGTTTTTTGAAAGGTATTTGTTTTCAAGGGCCAATTTTTATTTTCCCCCTTATCAGTCAGTTTAAGCTACATATACAAATTTAAAAAGTAACACACTAAGATTGAAATTCACTTTCCTGCATTATAACAGCTTTGCAGAAGTGACAGAAACAGAACCCCCAATTATTCTGCTTTCTCAAAACAGCCCTCAATATCTAATAGGTTACGGTATTAACATTGCTAACATCGAGGATTCTTTTAAAGTACTCACTCCCTATTCCATGAGATAAGCTCAAATTGGTATTAAATATGCTTTTAGTTGAAAAAAAGCAACGTCCTGCTGCGAACATGGCCACCTACCGAAGCCAGAGTTAGGAAAGACATGTCAAAGAAAACTCCAGCCTTCACTTTCAGCGGTCTTGAGGCCCTCATGATGGCCAGAGGCAGCAGACTTCTGTATTCCGGTGTCTGGTTGTACCAGTCGGTGCTATAGAACGCCAGCTGTACCTTCTCACTCTGAAAACAGTGGCAATATTAATTTATATTATATACAATTATTGTAGGTAAGATCCCAGACAGACTGCAACAAACAGGGCGGAATAGAATTAATTTAATTTATGAAGAGTTCTATATCCTAGGATACATCACCGTGTAATCCGTTGAATATCAACTGACATTTCGGAAGAATATGTTGCTTCTATTTTCAGGGTAGTACAATACGTAAAGCAGAAAAAAGTATGAAGACGGTAATAAGCACATCTCCTTTCATCCTTTGCTCATTCTACGACCGTGAAGATAGAGGCAATACGTTTCGCCGAAACGTCGGTTGCCTTTCAACGGATTACATGGCGTTATATCGCAGAAGACAACTCGTAACGACCGCTGTGAAAGCCTCAGTTCCTACATAATTCATTTTAAAGTGATACATTGAGCAAGCAACATTTTGGTAGAGTATTCTCCTATGTGATTTGATGCAGTAGAGTCCGGTAGAAGTCTACTGACGCTTGTGATGACCGTACTGCAGGTATCTTCAATGTGGATGATAAGCTAACCCACTAATGGGCCAAATGCAAACAAACTCTTGCTCCTGTGCCCCTGCCATATTGCTGACTGCCTCCTTTGCTCTTCGACCTTGAATCTGAATGAGGATTGTGGCGCCTACTCGTCGCTTACCTTCTCTTCTGAGTCATACTTTAGTCCCTTCATAGTCACTCCTTTCAGAATCTGAAAATCGACACACTTCCAACTGCATGCTGACAGAGTGGTAAGTGCCAGGCGTTATGTGCGGACAGACAGAGAACTGTATACGTGTAAGTGTAACTTTAGACACGAACCTCGTCAATTACTTGTTGGCCAAACCAGCAATAAGCCGCAATTAATAATAAAGATATGGCAAACAAAGTGGCGAACTGCAAGAACTGTTCGTAGTTGTCAAAACTCTGTAACAGACAAAAAATTTCATTCCAATTTACAAATAGATTATATGAAACCTACTTCAATCGGCTAATAGGAAACCAATTTCATGAGCAAAGTCAGTCAGTGACAGAGACAGACTTATCGAAATCGGGAAAATGAATTTCGAATCTCTGCAAAGGCAGGAACCTTCTCTTCTTCATAGTGTCCAGACCAGTTAAGGGGCCCAAATTTTCCTAATCCAAAGGATGCAAGGACCCATTGCTTTAAGATCAAGGGTCTGAACACACAACTGTTCACACGGATCTAGTGCTGAGGGAAAATATGCATGGCGCTCTATAAACAGTCCACAATATATCAGCATGGAATCGTGTTTACTTGGGCACAGGAACCAGTTTCCTTCAATATAATTCCTGTGTCCATCACACATTCTTGCGGCATACAGAACCAGGTGTGTGAATATCCCCTTCAGAATTTGGTGCAGGCTCCAGACCAGTAGGGCACCCCGAAAACAAACTAAGTTATGCCATTACAGGAAGGCATTAAAATGCGGACTCGCTAATTCCTTCCTGAACCTATTGCTACTGGAACGATAGTACTGACGTCTTGGGGAGTGGCAAATCGAGTCACTTCTAGAGACAGCTCCATGCTGACTATGGCCGTTATGCCACGTGTTCCTAATGTATAAAGATACACCACTACAGTACAGGCACTACTATGATGGTAAAGAAAGAAGTAAAGTTGTCCCGGTGCTTAGCTAATTAAGCACTAGGTCACAAAGATGTATGGGAAAGTGAAGGTACAGGTCCATCATTCTAGGCCTCGATACTGAATTGATGCGAATGGTATCCCTCACTACACGGCCCCTTTTTCCCGAGTGAAAGAACCAGACGTAACCACTGGATAAGAGGCTGGGTGGTCCCCCGAGCCGGCCTGAATGCCGTTGAATAAAGAAATATCTCTTGCCACTGTAGGGAATCGAACTCCGGCTGTCTAATTATTAACAAAGATATAAATACTGAGCTATTCCGGATCACTGACGTATTGTTACTAAAAGGTAAGTTTGTCCCTGTGCATTATTAATTAAGCACTACGCCATGAGGGCGTATGTGGGAGTCTGTGCAGAGGTGCAGGTTATCTTGACCTCGTCACTAGTTGGAGGTGAGTCGTAGAGCTTCACACCCTGGGCGCTTTATCCCCAAGCATAGAGCCCCTGATATCCACTGGATAGGAGGTTGGATGTTCCCCAGAGCCGTTCTGGACGTTGCGGAGAAGAGAAATTTCTTGAATCTACAGCGACACGAACTCCGACCCTTTGATCGTACAGCCCGTAGCCAGTCACTATACCGACTCCCCGAGGTATTATTACTAATACATTTTATCGAAATTACCTGTGTCATTTCAAATCCTGTCATACACAGGATAGGTGGGAAGTTTACTATCTTCACGGATGTGATTAAACTTACAATCTCGTTGAGGCTATTGACAAACCTGCAAGATATGAACATCGTTACAGTTTCACGTAGCAGCACATGAGACAACAAGGACTTTCATAATTTATATTCCTCAAAGATATATCTAACGGCCGGTCACGGTAGCCGAGCGGAAACATATTTCATTAGAATACTTCAATGAAACAGGCCACATCATAAACCTAAGCCTATACAGGAGGATAATATTAGAAAGGATATTAAAAATAACGTGAATGGGGATCATTTGTTATAGAAGAATTATATTCATTCGAAAGCGAAGAAATCTCCGTTGTAAGAATCTTTACACAGATATACAGCGACATAAAACGTTATAGCACGGTTTTCAAAACGATGGTTAAATTCGAGAGTCATGCTTAGCCTTCGCAACTTTATTCGTTAATCCTAACCAATTTAACTTACAGATTGGGGGAGAGTAGAATCTATTATCTGTGTGTGGAGTGCAGATATGTTTTAAATATGGAAGACTATAACTTACTCAATTACAGCTTGGTGATATTTGACGCATTTAACAAGGTACAGTCGGAATGCATTTCTGTTCACGTGACGGTCTTCTGGGCGCGTCTCGAAGCTGGGGCTTCCACAATTTCCCCTCCCTGATTCGTGACACGTGATATCATCTGCTGAAGTCACGAGGGCCTTCATAAGATTGAAGTCTGCAATATCTTGCAACTGGGACGTGTGCTTCGTTCTGTTCAACTCAGCTTCAGAGACATTCTCATGCATGTCATTCAGCATTGCACATAAAACCTTGAATTGAGCAGCTGCATGACTCATCAGAGACAAAAATATTACATCAACAGCAGCCAGCATTAATATCGAAAAAAATATAACAGCCATTTGCAAGACCAGAATTATCTCAAACTGAGGCGACCCTTCAATTGAGAATGGAAACCACATCACGAACATCAGTCTATCCAAATTATTCCCATTTGAATTTACAGTGTTATTGTTGAAATTTGAAATTTTGCTGTCATTCAGGAATGGCACTACGATAGAAATAGTACCTAAAGATACAGCAACAGGGGCTGTGAGTGTAACAGAGAGTTGAATTTGACGTTCAGCGATGTGAATAAATTTGATATACTTAGAGTTCATATTTTCCACAAATTCATTTCTCAACAAATCTATAAGCCTCATGAATTTATATTTGTTGTGTAGGAAATATACGCAGCTGGAGACTGTTAGAAGTAAACCACTCATGTAACTCATATCTGTCGAAATCACAGGAATATTTCCCCAGTTGACATAAACTGCCATCATCTGCCCTAACAACGCTAATATAAATAATGTAAAAACCACTGTTAGAAATACTTTGTTCAAAAATCTTAAGAATGGTGTTGCATTGTTGGGCGGAACAAGGCCAGATACACGAAGAAGGAAATCCAAAGTCATGATGCGTACTTTGTTCGCAGAAAATTCTTTATCATTCTTCATTTTTTCCCTTTTTTCAGAGTCTTCAGTCTGTTTTTTCTTCGGTGTGATCATTTTTCTGCAAAACCTGGAAAAACACCTGTTAACAGAAATATTTAATTATTGGTTGATAATTATTTGTTACCTTGGAGTATACTCTAATTTGCCTAATTATGAATGGATTTTAACAAGTTAGATACATCAAAATGTTGTTTATAAAGCTCAGAACTTGTTCAAATTCTCAGGGACAAAAACCAAGGAAAACATCTTTAAGATACATTTTAATAATACACCCCTCTACGCCTACATCTTTCAAATATTCTCTCCGACTAGAATTGTGTGCGCTCTTCTCTCTCCTATTAGTTAAAGGCATCGTATATGTTCAGTCACCAATGTTTGGTCTGGTTAATGATATTTAACAGAAATATAAGTTGATAAATAAAGATTCACAGGAAGACAATTTATCCTACTTTCTGTTTTTTCTGTTGTACCTTAGGCCCAAGTACATTTTTCAGCGTCCTCTCCCAGATTTCATTATTCTGTTTTCCTCTTAAATTGTCAGAATATATTTCTCACCCACACACGAAATAAACAATTTGTAGATGTAATTATTAAAATCTTTACGTCCATAAACGGAATCTGAGCATGAATTTCTGAATTCAATCTCGTGTTAACTGGCGCATTAATAAAGAAATATTAACGCAGAATCTTTAGATTTATCCATAAAACGCAATACTCGCAGATACGAATGTCGGTATGTTACCTTACTGCTCTCCGTCTCTCTGTGAATGCGATATTTCTGTAGGCGGGCAGTGGAGTCACACAACTTGTCTCCTCTTCTCCCTTCAAAGGAGTGTCTTACATTCGCTGGGAGAATCATATTCGCTTCTTATGTAACAATATGTCTGAAACTTTTGACGTCAAAAGACAGACTCGAAAATAAATGTTTTAGACAGGAAGGAAGGGGCATAATTACTAACTTCTAAGCAATTTCTTTTTCACTTTGTCATGTACGTAGCATACATGAGGAAGCACTGTATATGGTAAAGAAGATCGATCCCGAAATATTGACGGATTTACATGTTTCCAGAAGCCCTGAATTAGAGAAAGGGGCGTTTCTGGAACGTGTCTACCTTTCTGTGTGCTTGTGGATATGCACCGCGCATGCGCCGAACGGCTGGAAGGAATTTATTAATATTTGGTACTGGAAAATATGTACGTCATAGGGCGGTGTCCGAAGCATGTGAATGAGCTAGTTCCAAAATTAAGTGCAATTAAAATGGGCCTCACACAACTAAATGGTTATCTCTGAAACCTGTTGTCACGATGTTCATTGCGTTTTGGAAGTTTATGTACGCATGAGAAATCTGGTTTTCAGAATTTAACAGAAACCCATAGAACTTCTCGGAAATATTTAGGTTCTCACTGCGGTGGTTATGGAGCCTTATCTTATGGGATATAACGCTGTATAGTAAGATGAAATTCAATAGACGTTCAGTAGGAATATGTCCTTCTTTCTTTAGGATGAAATGTATACCTAACAAAAAGTCAACATGAAACAACTTTTGGGAAACATTGTGAATTTTCAGCATGTCCTTGGACTATCCACGAATTATTTCAGATAGCTGATAAACACATATAATCTGTTCGTGACAGGAATTACGACATATTCTGAGTCTGTAACATATCTGAGTTTGCGTCATAATCAGACAGTTACTAAATTACTAAAATTTTATCATCTGGTGATAACCAAACCCGCCGTATCTGAGACTTCGCTGTACACACAGAACATAATTTCCACACAGTTAGATACACAATCTATGACGTACCCAAATATAAACTTGAAGAGCAGGATAAGCCAAGTCCCACATTTTGAGTCTGACTAGGGATATTTCGGCCAAATTATTACTCCCAGTCATGTGACTTTTAAACAGGAAGTTTATGTATGCAATATGTAATATGTATGCAATATAGGTATGTATAATTTTACAGAAAGATATAACGGTGTGTATCTGCATGTTGGTTGCATAACCGAGCACGGGGAAGCTTGTCTTTAAGCTGAGGCCTTGTATATGGCTCAGCGCCCACTGGTTGCAGTGTAAGGAAGTTAATTTATCACTTTTTAAAATTTTAACCTTTATATATCTATATTAGGTTAGTATGAGCACCAGGTCACCGCCCCGCTTTCAGGCAGAGCTCTGTAAGAAAGTGACTTGAAGCCTCCAGCGCAGAACGTAAAAGTTAAAATAATCAGTTCGAAATGAATAATACGTGTACTTGACATTGCGAAGGTGGTTGAGGGGGTGGGCTGACTGGGCCATAGGCTGCACAATCGGGGAGTCGTGGTTCGATTAGGGGCTCTAGCAGATGATATTCTCTCTTCTGCAGAGTCAATATAGTCTCTGGGCCTGGCCAAGCCTAGCCAATATATGCCCAGGGGGTTCCCCGTAGCTAAAGAGGGCGAGAATGCCTCGTATTGTCAGAACTTCAGATATATTCTCCGTGTAATCTTATATTGTGAATGTAATTTATACGTTCCTAATCTCTTTTTGTTGGTGAATGCTTCTTATAGATTCATGACAATGATTATTCAACTGAACGACTCCTAAAACGGAGAAGCTGAAGAATGCTTGAGTAGAAACAACAAGCTGACAGTGGCATTTCCAGTATGTCACTATGGGCAGTAATACATTGAAGTAGCAGTTAACATATTCATACAGAGAAATCTGCAGTGCTGTTTCATTGAGTATTCTTGCTGTTCGTGTTGCATGCTTATATTGAAAGACACTAGGATCTACTATCCACACAGATCACTTCTGTCAGTTTCAGAACACAGTTCCACCTGAACAGACCGTGTAGAATTAATTGTATTCCCGCACTCCCGTGTATGTCTTTGGATTCTCAGACATACACTTAAAGTAGGCTTATGGCTACATTAACACACAAAATTGTAATCGTAAAATAAAATAGAATTTTTCACCAGCTATTCCAACGATTTCTCAATGTTGCTGGTATTGTCCGGTGTTTCATTTAAAATGGAAAATTTTATTAATAGTTTGATTTGGTTCATCCTGGTCCGTCACACAAGCAATACTATAAAACTTATTAATACCGTCCAGTGTGACTGATAAAATGTTTTCTTCCTTTTAATCTTTTATCCTTTACATGTTTTGGTCTTATGGGCCATCTTCAGACGGATATCAATAAATTAGAAACCACTATTACAATTCGTTTTGTGAATATTAATATATATATATATACAATGTTATCTTAATACAATCAATAAAAATATCATATTTTAACAACTACGGCGGTGTATACTAATACGTTAAATATTTATAAACTACAATTAGTTTCTTTAAAAAGATTTTGTTTAACAAAATTTTAAACCAATTTGTTTCGTGTCCTCTTTATTTCCTCTCTTCAAAAGAAGCCAAGTGTTTACCGCCTTGTGGTTCCATTGTTTGCAGAATAGGATTCTTTTGTGTCGTCCTGTTGTTGCTCGGGGCGCGCTATGTTGTTATATCAGGCGCTACCAGATTTTCTGAGAAGTAGTGGGTCTGGAACAAGGTCCACTCAGCCTCGTGACAATAATTGAGAAGCTTTTTGAAGGAAATTGCGGCTCCGGTCTAGAAAACCGAGATTAACGGCCTTGGAAATCCGTTGGGCTGACGAGACACTTTGTATCCGCTAAAGTTGGCACTAACTTCCCAGACAAGCGGCGGTAGCTCGGTCGGTATAGTTCGCTTGAGGACTAAAACCACGGAGTTTCTTCGTTTTATGTCTGCATGTCCGTCTGCCCCATCTATCTGACTGTCTAATGCAATTTCCCGAAAATAGTAGGTCCTTATAATGTTTCATAAGTAAAGTAAAATAGAAAAGTAAAGCTATCCCTGTAACAGGCCGTGAAGGGCCATAGGGTTGTGAAACGTTCAGGGTCCCACATTATCTAGATAATCGGCTCACAGATGGCGGTAAGGTTGTCAGCCTTACGCGCCGGCCGCGCTTCTCCTCAGGAAAATTATTTAATTAATTCCTGGTACTCATTGCTGTTACATGCTGAGTCGACCCCAGAGCCATAGTGCGGCTGGAAGAATTAGGTCAATTGATAAAAATCCAATGACCTCACTGGGACTTGAACCCGCGACCTTCCGGAAAAGAAAATGTTGCTTTCAGAGACAGACAATCCAAGGGAAGTTGTTAAGTTCGCTGTTACATGCACAGGATCCAAACCCGGAAAATTTATACGTCCATTTCTCTAATCCGTCAGAAATGCACTGGAACGACTATGCCACTGACATTTATTCGCTACCACGGTACCGTGTTTACCGAGCAGTTTCCAAGCAACGAAAAACGGGGTACACTTTACCAAGTCACTGTATACCAGAGACAGAAGGGATACACATACACACACAGACAGATCGGAGAGATTTATTAAGAACGCCGTTCAAATGGTCTCAGTTACTATGATATACATACCAAATTTCATAAAGTTAAAAGTAAAGTAAGGGTATCCCTTTAACAGGCCGTGGAGGCCCATAGGGTTGTTAGACGTTGAGGTTCCCACATTTTCTAGACAATCGGCTCACAGATGGCGGTAAGGTTGCCAGTCTTACGGGCCGGCCGCCCTTTACCACCAAGAATATTTCAAGAATATTCCTGGTACTCATTTCTGTTAGAGGTTGAGTCGACACCAGGGCCATAGTGCAGCCGAAGGGATTAGGTAAATTAACAAAATCCACCTCATCGGGATTCGATGTCGCGACCTTTCGGCGTGTAGCATAGTGCCTCAACCAACTA